TGCAATTTAAAATAACAGTTTTCTATTTTAATATACTTTAAATATTGAAATAAAATGTATTCCTGTGAATAATAATTAAATAAATAAAGCAGCACAACTGTTTCAACACTGATAATAAATCAGCATATTACAATGATTTCTGAAGGATCATGTGACACTGAAGACTGGAGTAATGATGCTGAAAATTCAGTGTTGCTTCACAGAAATAAATTACATTTGAAAGTACAATAAAATAGGTAACCAATATTAGAAATTTCAATAATATTTCACAATACTACTGTTTTGTTCTGTATTTTTGATCAAATACATAAGCATAAGAGAATATAAAAAAATAAAAAAAAACATTACAAATCTGATCCTTTTGTTCTTAAAAATTTTTTTTAACAAATCACGAACAAATTCTGATTCTATTGATTAAACTTTAGATCTACACATTCAACAAGTTTGACTTCAACGTTTGTGTATTTTTTCCCCTTTCGCTTTCGTTTCTCCCCAGTGTTTGCATACGATTGATGACCAAAAACAGGAAAAAAAGTGTGGTTGGTTCTTCAGATTTGGTAATAGTGTAGGCATCAAGAGAAGGTGAGGTAGATAAAGAGGAAGAGCTGCGCGATGGCGTCTACCTTAGCGGTTCTTCTGCTCCTGTCTGCAGGTTTATTTACGGTAAAAGCCGGTAAGTTAGGCAACCTGTTACAAAAATCTAAAGAAACGCTTTAAACTTAGTTTTGGGCAGTTTACCGATGGCTGAAAATAATTTATTCAGCACTTGAGAAAAAAAAATCACGATGGAAATGTTATAAAGTCCGTTCTCTTGAATCATCGGATGGTCTTTTATGTGTTGTATTTCTACTGTTGTTTCAGGTTTTGGTGAGGACTGTGAGAGCTACTACACCATCTATAACGAGTACAGGCCTGGGTTTAAGTGCTTTTTTCAGTACTGCTGTGGAAACTGTGATAACAGATTCTGCTGCCCCAGTGAACATTTGAAGTTAACCGCGTCTGTTCAAAGCCTCTGCGCTATGTAAGGAATTTTATGTAATTTCTTTCTTAATAAAATGGTCCGTTAGATCTTTTTATACACGTCATGATTATCTTTCACTCAAACTTGAAACCCTATCTTTTCTAACATTTGTTAGTTGAGGTTCTGTCTTTCACTTTTCTTGCACCAACCCACCATTTCCTACAGTCTGCAAAATGCATCCTCCAGATTGGTGCGTGTTACTCTTTTAACTGTCACTTTGTTATTTAAGCAGGGCTTGACAAAAAAGGAGCCGTTTTCTCATTTTTCTACTTTCAATATTAAATCAAAAAACGAATGATCGAATGATACACGGATTCTTGACGCTTACCTTTTCCCCTTTGAATCGTGATTTGATGTTGTATATTTTTAACAATCCAAGCACAAAGCAAATTAACCAGTGCAGTAACCAGTGTGTTTTCATTAAATTAATAAACATATCTGAATAAATGAAGTGGTAATTAATAACATTTTAATATATAAATAAGATTGTATATATACTAGATGCTAAAGAGTGTTTCTAATGCTTGTTGCTTCATGTGTTTATCTGTCTAACAGCAGAAACAGTGAAACACTTACTTGATAGTAGTGGGGGTTGTGTTCCACATTATTGTGTTCATCATCTGCTGCTTCTGCCCCTGTTGCTGCATCTATAAAATGTGCAGGAAATCCAGACATAAGTGTTTTAGTTTGCAAAAAACTGAAAATGTACTCAGTCTCAGGCCATCCAAAATGTAGATGAGTTTGTTTCTTCATGGGAACAGATTTGATCAAATGTAGCATTACATCACTTGCTCACCAATGGATCCTCTGCAGTGAATGGGTGCCGTCGGAATGAGAGTCCAAACAGCTGATAAAAACATCACAATAATCCACAAGTAATCCACACCACTCTAATTGATCAATTAACGTCTTGTGAAAAAAGCAGTGTTTGTAAAAAAAAACAAAAAAAAAGCTGTGTTTGTAAAACAACAAATCCATCAAGGCATTTTTAACTTCAAACCGTCACTTTTGGTCAAAATAACCATAATATTGCTTTCTCCAGTAAAAAAAAAAAAAAGTAGTCTTGTCTGAATCAGGAGAGAAATATGCACAGATCTAGCACTGTTTCTTTCTCCAAGAAAAAAAAAAAAAAAAGGTCTTGTCTGAATCAGGAGAAAAATGGGTAGCACTTTATTTTACAGTCCTGTTACTCATGTACATACTGTGTACTTATTGTAGTAATTACAATAACTAGGTAATAACCAGGTACTAACCCTGAACCTAACGCTACCCCATGTAGTTACCTTATGCTACCAGGACTTTCTTAGGTAGGTACACTTTAAGTACACTCTAAGTACATGTACTCTAAAATAAAGTGCAACTTCAAAATCTGCACAGATCAAGCACCGGTTACGAGCGAAAAGAGTTCTAAAGAAATATGTTGTTATATTGTTGTTAAAAACGTCTTGATGGATTCGGTCCTTAATAACATACTGATTTTTGCTTCACTAGATGTTAATTGAGGGACTGGAGTGGTGTGTGGATTACTTGTGAATTATTGTGATGTTTTTATCAGCTGTTTAAACTCTCTTTCTGACGGCACCCATTCACTGCAGATGATCCATTGGCGAGCAAGTGATGTAATGCTACATTTCTCCAAATCTGTTCTGATGAAGAAACTAATTCAGCTACATTTTGGACAGCCCGATGGTGAACAAATATTCAGCACATTTTCATTTTTGGGGTGAACTGTTCCATTATGGGGATTATACATTATTTAGGGGCTGGTAAAATTGAATTATACATTGATTTCTGTCTTGTTTTTTTCCCCCTCAGCTGTGGCAGGAGCGCATGTAACTACAGTCACAAATACACATTTCATTCAGCAGCAGCCTGTAATGCAGGGGGCCCAGTGCCCACAATACCAACCAATGCCGACTCATCCGGGTTACGGTCAGCCAATGCAGACGGGACCATATCAGGGACAGCCATATGCACCAGGACCCCCACCCTCATGTCAAGTGGCCTGTAAGAACACCTAGTACTCGACAGACTGAAACCATGTAGTAGTCTTTTCTGTGAAAGTAACTATTTTTTTCCGTTTCCAGTGAGTCCTGGATATCCCACTAGTCAGAGTGCATATGACGGAGGCCAGGCCATGTACCCCATGCAGCCGCCTGCCCAGCCGGGTGTCGCTTATATGCCTTCAGAGACATCGAATCAGCTGGCCTACAACCCCGCCTACGTGCAGCCACCAAACATCGGTTACTAAACTGCAACCGTCTGTCACATCAGACATTGCTGGATTGTGGAGGTTGACGCACTTTCGCGAGGCAGTAAGAATGTGCCCAATTTAATGTGGATTATAAAAGACTAGTGGATGTGTTATAGTCAGGGTTATTACAGTTTTTTTTTTTTAAAGGTGTAGTGTGTAAATTTTAGCGGCATCTAGCGGTGAGATTGCGAATTGCAACCAATGGCTCAGTCCCCCGCTCACCCCTCCCTTTAGAGAAGCTACTGTGGCTGATACAGGACTAAGATGTCGTCGGTAAAGACAGCAGAGAGCAATGAGATTTCTTTACAAAGGTAAATTAAGGAATTATATTTACTTAATTATTTAATAAATCGATATTATTGCGAATATTAATGTACTTGTTCATCATTGTGTCAGTGTTTTATTCGCAAGAACAACAAAGTGACGAAACGCGCTCTGTAGAGCAGTTTGTCCGTTTAGGGCTACTGTAGAAACATGGTGGCGACTTCCATGTAAGGGGACCCGCGGTGTATGTAGATATAAATTGCTCAATCTAAGGTAATAAAAACATAACGGTTCATTAAGTAAGGTCTTTATACACCTCTGAAAACATAGTTATGTATATTATATTGCATTTCTGTCAATAGATCGATGTAAATATTACACATTGCACCTTTAAATTTGAGTTATGTTGTGTTATTACTTTTAATTTCTTTCAGTTTAGTTTTCACTCTGTGGCAAACTGGAAAAATTATTTTAGGAATTGTAAATAAAGCTAGTAAAACTGCGTTTTAATGCAGTTTTAATTTTTTATTCGTTTTTTCTACTTTCAGTATTGATTACTCTAGTATTATTTTAGTACTGAACTGTACTGTTACACAATATACAATTTAATATACTAAACAGACTAAAATCTAAAATATAACTCATCATTTTTATTTGATTTTTGTTAGTTAATGTTCTTTCGTTTCAGTTTATGTAATTCTGTTACATTTTCATTACACAGAAATACAAACGTATTGGTTTTTACATTTCAAATGGCAGTGATGGTGATTCTGTTTAAAGAAAGTGTCGACAATTTTCCCATTTTTAGATTTTTTTCCTTTGAGGGTCTAAAATGCAACCGCATTTGAATAACAATGACTGTCACAAAATTTCCACAATTATGTCATGAGTCCCACTGACTTTCTGTAGCAACAAGTTTAAATGCACATGCAAGATTTTAAGCACAAAATGGCTGTCAAGGTAGGAAAAAGGGTTACATTTTTGATCATGCAACCTTTGTTAAAGCATTAGGGGAAACCACTGTCATTTGCGGTTCCTTTTCAGATTGTATTATATTGTGTCAGGTGACATTGTTTTTTGAGACGCAGCCTATTTGTTTAATGGCTACACATTTTGTAAATGTTTAACTGTTGTTTTATATGTTTTTATGTTTAAAAGATGTGAAAAAATATATTTTAAAAAGGATGACTCAAGCTCAACAAAGTCGTCCAAGCCTTCTGAAGAGTTTGGACAGTCTTTTATGCAATGTTTGGTGCACTTGCAGCACTTGAATGTATATGGCGCCCCCTACTGGTGAAATAAAAAAGAAACGTTCTTTAGTGTTTAGTCTTTTTATTTATGTATTTCAATATTTTAACATTTTGTGTACAGGCTTTTTACTCTTTTTTTCATAGATTAGTAGAGAGAGATTCTTTTTATTGTTTTGGATATGATGCTAAGTATGCTTTAAATATGTTCCCAGAAATCATAATTTACTCTTTTTAATAATCATAATTTGATAAACCTTAGTACAAAATGAATACCATATTCATTTACCATAGTATTGGTAAACTCCAACCCTTATGAAAATTAATCACTTTATAGTTTTATAGTAAAAGTGTAGTAACTATGTTTTTTTTGTTTGTTGTTTTTTTTGCATATTGACTGCCATTTGTATAACCACAGTTATGCTACAAATACAATAGTTAAAATATGGTGTAACAAAACCATGGTTAATTTGTGGTTACAGTGGTTTAACTACTGTACCCATGGCTTTTTTGTTTTTATCTGTAGTAAAACCATGGTAAATTTTCGTAAGGGAAGGTCCAAAACACTAGACATAAACATCGTTGTGGAGACGTTTATGCAGATCTAAAGCGTTTTTACGATTTTCTATTCACACTGAAACATTACTAAATATAATATTAAAAAATATTAATTGTTTGTTCATTTGATACCTTTTCAACAATGCTTTATATATTTTGTCATGAAATAACGTGTTTTAAATTTGCACCCATCTGTCAGATGCACCAAGCAAACCCGTTGTGCTACTCTAACTGGCTCAGCCATACTTGATACAAAATCATATCTGAGGAGGTACTTTTAATAAGTAAGAAATTACTTTGCAACCGTTCAAAGTATAATATAGCCTAATAAAATAAATAAATAAAAAATATAAATGTAATACAGACATATTCATCATGTTGTCACTGTTATGTGACCATACTGACCTACAAGGGTTAGTTGCTTTGCTTCTCTGCCATTAAAATGCCTGTCTGAAAACCCATACTTGCAGTCTTTCCTCTTGAGCACTTGTGTTACATGACATACTTCCTGTATTTGGCTCAAGTGTTCGATGAAGCGTCAAAACTGCAATTGTGTGTAGAATTTCTGATTTCCTGATGGGACACAAGTACAGTTGTTGTTAAAGCACTAGTTCATACAAAGCTTAATTTACACATTTTGATTTTTAATCATTTGCATTCCCTTAAAAGTCTGTTCATCAGTCCCTAATTAACAAATGACAATTGGGATAATTGTGGCAACTAAGTGATTAAGTGTGCAAATGTTTTACAGAATACACTAATCTCTGCAGCAATAAAATGTGTAGCAGTTTACAATTTACAACCAAATTATATGAAATATCTAATTCATTTAACTTACACCGGAAACACCCTCTGTTCACTATGGCATATTTGCGACGCCTCTGGGCAGTTATTTTAGGCATCCAAAACCAACTCATATCTACCAGAAAGGGGAAATCCTGACATTTCAAAAACTGCTTACCTCATTCACCTTTAAATGATATATTTCAACTCTGAAATAATGCTATTCCTTATCCTCAAACAGAATTAAAGTCAGCATACATTGAAAATGTACTCAATCTTATTGTGACCAATTCATCTATAAATACAAAATGTTTCATTTTTTTTTTCTTGTAATTTTGAATGAAAATACCATAATGGGACCTTCCAGTGAAAATGACATCCCTCTGGTGACGTATGCCAGACTTCTCCAAACATCAGCCAGAAAATTTAAATAAACGGAACATTGGGTGTCTTGTCTCTCATATTTATTTTCATATAAAAGCAACAGAATGTAAATAACTTCCATTTTATTAGTAACAAAGCACATGAGCGTGAATGACACAATGTCTCGTATGGTGGCTGATTCACTATGAAAAGTGAGAACTGTCTTTCTTGACTGAACTTTCACTCCTCCCCTACTCTCGTCTACTTTCACATCTCAGATGAGCATATGTGAACACGTTCATTGAAATGAATTAGATCGAAAGAACGATTCATTTATGAACCTTTGGAAAAATGGGAAAAAAGATTTAATAGGCACTGAAAAGTCCAAAATTAGGAAATGCCCACAAGAAGGATGCAACATTACAGAAATGTCCAAATGAAGGCATGATCGGACAATGAAATGCTCCTTGGGTCATAGGGTTACTTGCAAATAATTGTTGAGAAGAAAAGATGCATATTAACTGCAAATGACTTTAAGAATTAAAGGGGTCATATGATGCGATTTCAAGTTTTCCTTTGTCTTTGGAGTGTTACAAGCTGATTGTGCATAGATAAGATCCCTGAAGTTGCAAAGACTAAAGTCTCAAACCCAAAGAGATATTCTTTATAAAAGTTAAGACTCGTCCACACTCTCCTAAAACGGCTCTTTCTAACACGCCCTCACATGTCTACATCACTGTGTTGGAAGATTTGCATAACACCGCCCAAATGTACACGTAAAGAAAGAAGGCGCAACTTTTATTCTCGCTGTAGTATTGTTCCCGCCGCCACCATGTTGTGGAGACGCTGTGTGTTTCGTTATGAAAGCGAAACTACTTTGTTTGGCCTTCCAAAAGAGGACACGACTAGAAATCAGTGGTTAAGTTGTATTTACAACACTGTTCCAGAACAGTTCAACCCAAATATTCAGATTCAGTGTGCAGCGCATTTTATAGAGGACGAGGCCTGTTTCCTGTGAGAGTAGCCTACAATGCCGGTGTTCTGACAAATAAT